CCGGCGGGGCCCGAATTTTTAACTTGTGTTGGGCAAGGCCGTGGCCTAGGCAACACGGAGTTTTCCTCATTGGCATCCCAACAATTACTCCATTCACACACAGAAGAAGGCAATGGCAAATCACTTCTGGATCATCTGCCAAGAACGTATATGAACAGGTCCCAGTCCGAGAAAAGGATGGAAGGATCCTGTTCATATGGACCTGTCGTCAGACAGAACACTAAATAAATAAATAAATAAATATTAATTCCCAATTTGATTTTTTCATAGAGCAGAGTTTTGTGTGAGAAGGTTCATGTTCAGAAGAACCCGTCACAGAGCTAGTTAAATCCAATTCACATCCTGAAACCCTGTTTAAGGTCCAGTTTAGTATTTTCCTTCCATCTCCACTTAGGTCTCTTAAGTAGTTTTCCCTTTAGGTTCTTCATCCAAATATGTGTGTGGATTTCTCATCTGTTCCTCAGTGCTACATATCCGATTATTTCACCTCCTTGATTTAATCACCGCATTGATGTTTAATTTGTGAAAATTAGCATCTTAAAACTGGTACTTCACGTAGTCTATATTAACTTTAATTGATTGGTTGGATTGCTTTATGGAGACGTGAATTTATATGAATTTACGTATCGTGTACTTATAGCTGTGTGTCCGTCTGCCCGATAGTCTTGTCACTTAACCTTCTACCTTATTATATTCTTTAGATGTAGATGAATTATTAACTCAACTCTCTTTCCACTTTAATCCCAGAGAAAGTCCGGTAACATATGAACAAAAATCCGTGTGCGGTATCGATCTGTTCCGGACTCAATGAAAAAATATCAAAGCCCGCGCTGGGTCTTTGGTATTTCGAGTTTAGATATCTGTATTCCAGCTCACAGCCAGTCAGTAAGTCAGTCTGTCTGTTTACTTAGTGACCGTTAACCACGACAAAACAAGAAATGATCAGTCACCTTATAAAAGTTAATTTGGTTCAAAATTGGATTTAACCGTGTCGATTACGAGGCTTTTGATTTTTAAATTTTTATAAAATGTCGTCATCTGGAACTGACCCTGCCGCAATTAGCCAAGTAACGTAATCCTCCACATGACAAGTATTGCACTGACTCAGCTCTGGGGGAGTTATCCCTGATACCCTCAGTACGAAATGTCACATACAGCATGCAGTGACGTCATACGATCTTCTAATATCCTTTGGGCTTTAAGGCTATTGGCACCCCTTTTAAGCGTTTGTTCAAGGGGAGTCTTTCTGTACGAAATGAATTTTCGTCACGGGGAGTGTCAGCTGGTGAAGTGTGCTGCTTTATTAGTAATATGATGAAGCATCGATGAAAGGAAATTTTAATTGGGAAATGTTAAGGCCATTCCTCACTCTTTGTTCCAAGCTGGAGAAGTCAGACAGGAAGGATTAGATGATAATTTTGCTGATTTTCGAGTTCATGTGGTATAAGGTGCGTAGGAACAAGAATTCGTATTAACCCCGAATCCAGTGTCTGAGCGGTAGAAAATCGCGAAATTGCGTTTCATTTTCCTTTCCTGACGGCAGATAAATTATGTAGTTGGAAAATATTGAGGGAAGATTAATACTAACCTTTAATTTTATTTGTTGTTTCTGTTCGATCAAAATTCCAAAGCAATTTGTTGCCCCTCGCAGAATCATCGGCCGATTAATAAGAATCTAATTGGCTTCGAAACTTTTAGAGTTGTCGTTGGTCAATCAAAGTTTCTTCATGATTACTTTATAAGTATGGTCTACAATTGGTATCAGTTTTCGTTACTAAGAGTTTTTTTCCTTGTTGCATAGTGGCGTTGGCAATTTCTAACAAACGAAATTTATTCGTGTTTTAGAAGAAGAAGAAGAAAAGGTTAATTAAACGCTCTATACGTCTGTAGCGTACTATAATTTCACTGTATATTTACACAATTAACAAACTTTCATGTCATTAAGACAGCTTTTAAAACATTTCAAATTATAAATATGATACGTCATTTAGAAATACCGAAGCACAACTAAATAATTTTTATGAATTTATTTCATACTAAAAAAAAGACGCCTCTGCTGACCGAAGATCAACTGGTTTGATGCTGTTCAAGGAAGTGATCGCTGTTTATTCTGAATCGTAAGAAATCCGTAAAGTCTTGACAAAACGCAGAGTTCCTAATTATTCAAAAAGAATTTGGCACACATCGTTACCACCGTGTTTTAAAGGGTTAAACAATACTGTTGTATCAGAAAAAACACACAGTTCGGTGAGTCGGACGGAAGAATGTTTTATATAATTTACTTGAATTGTCAAAAGCAAGGAATCCGTTCAGGAAAATGTTTAACAGCACAAAGCAATAAGTTCCCCCCCTCCTTACATTTAAGTTTAGATTATAACACAAATTCTCAATCCATACACATTACTAAACGCACTCATTAAAATCAAGTAACTTGTTAAGAAAATATTCTGATCAGTTCCCGTTCTACAACCGAATTTCAGTCTTAAATTAGAAAAAGAGTCCTATTGGCTATTTTTTCAGTAAGCAAATCCAGATAGAGGAACCCATCTCAGCTAAACAAGAATTTTCTCGACTTTTATACAACCCGAAAGTTCATTGCCGGGTCCCTCCAGCAATATCAACCCTCTTCAAGTCTGGCAGTGACCGTATATTTTCCATCTGTTAAACACTGGGTGGTAAACCAACCAGTGCTTTCAATTTCATTGACACAACGTAGTTTCCATACGCTTCAATCTCTCGGTGTTTATTGAAACTTAATTATGTTCTTTGTGTTGGTGGCACGGTGCCTCGAACTGCACGTTATTACAGCGAGATGAATAGGTCCACGCCTGTAGTCCAGGAAGAAATCTGCGACTGAAGTGCAGCTGAGTCGATAATAGTTGACATCGACCTGATCGACCTCTCTCCCTCCCCGCAAACCTACACGGTTAAAAACAACGACCATGAAATTACATAGTCTGGCGTTGATTAATGACTGCAGAAGTGTTAAAGATTTCGGTTTACTTTTCGGACAGGCCTCGGTTTCAGTTGCTCAGCTTTACACGTGAATGCATACTTTAAATTACACGGAAGTTGTGTTTATAAGAACACGTGGCAATGGAAGTGGACGGAACCGAGAGTGGGGGAGTTTATGGTAATCGTGTTAGCCCGGCTAACACGTAAAGAATCGGAGAATAAAAAGGATTTCAGGACTTCACGGCGGTGAGTTTGAAGATGGCTGGCTTTTAGGTTGATACGTAGTCTGGCAGATTTACCGACGTTTCAGAGGTACTTGCTGCCTCCATCATCAGGGCGATGATCGGCAAATAACAGGTTTTGTCGTTGGCTGGTGAGGTTTCAGGTTCTCATGGCGGAACTGCCTTGTGGGATATTGAACCGCGTGGTCTGGTGGAAGTTTTACCGTCGCCTCAGAGATGATGGCTCAGTCATCACGGCGACGACCGATTTCTATCAGACAGCACCTGAAATCTCAGTACAAAACTTCTCCGGAGTAGAAAGGTGGACAGCGAAATTGCTTAATCTGCAATAATGATGTTGGTGACTACTCTGTTACGGAAATTAGCGCCGCGTCGCAAGTACATGCTTGTCTGTCTGGGTGGTGACGGCGGGGGGAAGAGTTTTAAACGAATAATTGTGTTCCTCACTGTGCGGCACATCTGTTGGCTTGGGGTGGGGAATAGTAGGCATGCCGCCTGCCTGCCGCCGCTAACAGAACATGTCTTCTGGTCGCCAGCCAGACCCATTCTTCCCCACTCCATCACAACATTCCCCCCACCCAACTCATTTCAACACTGTTTAGTAGTGGCAGCACTGAATGTACATCCCAAAAACTCCCCGGCGCCGGGTCGTCAGAAAGGTTCAGTCGCGCTTGGTCTACGGCACATGACAGGTCGAGAGCGTAGCAGTTCTCCGCTCTCCGCATTCCTCCTACAGACTTTCTGCTCATCTAGCGCGTGAGGTCGATGCAGTTTTATGCGATCGGAGAGACAGATGATAATAAAACAGTTTCACAGTCTATATATGATATTTAAATTATGACAAGTACCATGTGATTAAAAGATCACAATTTTTGTTCAATGTCGTTTTTGAACAAATTAGCTAAATTTTACGTTAATTCATCTGAAGAAAAAGTATTTTTTGGACATCTGTGATTACACGATGTCTTAAACCAACATATAATAAACCCGCAGCACTTAGAAATACCGACGTTTTAAATTTAACTGCTAGGAATTACCGATTAGCGATTAAAAATATAAATATAAAAGAAGTGTGTGTGTTCTTGTGGTCTTGTGTAAAGTGTGTGCACCGACTATACGTCATTCGTTTTCTGTCCATGTCTGTTTTACATCCATTGAAGCATGTGATGGATTCCTCTGTTCAGCGTCAATCTACTGCAAATCGCTCGTCAGAAGTGCCCCACGCCAATATCAATTTGTTCCTGAATGCCACCTGGATAGAATCTGTTCTTCCAAAAAGGTAAGAATTTTTCATTATTTAAGTATAAGATTTATTTTAATATACATGGTTTAAAAAATGTTATCTTTTATAATGACGAGTCATAAGATTGATGGTAACTACACTTTTAAGAAATGTAATTTGTAAATTATTCGTAAGAAAATTAAATACGTAGCTGGGGCGTAGTTTAATAGTTTCTTCTCAGAGTCTGTATTTATTGTGAACTCCAAATTCGGTTACTGTGGCGCCGTGCAAAAGGGGGCACTTTTAAGTTTCGAAGAGTGTAACGTTTTCTAACTTACTTCATAACTTTAGCACGTGAAAGGTTTAGGCCTAATTATAATCTTTGGCTAATTATTATTAGCCAAAGATTCGTTTCGGACTGAAATTTCATCCGATTTATCAAGTGTAAGGTTGGTTACCTTTTCAGAAGAGTTACTTATGTCTAAAGAGTTAATAATGGAATTGTATTTCGATGGTTTAAATTAGTCGATTTGAAAAGCAGAATTTGGCGAATCAAAACTATTTTACTCAAATACTCGTTCTAGAAAGCAAATAATCGATCCATCGCCCAGAATCTCAGGTGTTTCAGCGTAGTCTGCATGGAAAATAGACGGGCGACAATAAATGATTTTGAAATATTTAAAAAGTCTATTCAAATCGCATGAAATTTTATTTTAATCGGTTTAGATTTCGTCGGTCTTTAAACTACAGATATTTCTTTAAAACAAGGTTTTGTATTAGAAGAGTTTGATGTTAATCTGCTTTATAATAATCCTGTGTGTCTTGGGCTTCAAACGTTTTGCTTTACTACGTCTATTTTATCAGAGTAGGTACGCACCGCACTATAATGTCAGAATTATCGAATTGTGTGCAGTCGGTAATCATGTAAAGAATGGAGATTTTCGTGCCATTAATGACCCGTTTAACATGGCATTACACACAAGAAGTCAATGCGTTGGTCACATGCTATTTAATTTTTTTTTCTTACGCCTTTCCACTGTTTCCAGCTTGAGACTATTAACGAGTGTCACGTGATTTTGCATGACTCGCTTTATAATTTCTTTTTTGTCATGTGGAATTTTATCTGGAAAATGATAAACGCGTTTTATGATGTAGGGCCTTACTTTTGTAAGCCAGTAAAATTTATTGATTCAGTTTCTTGATTACGTTCTCATATCATCCTCGAATATTCTTCTAATTTTCCACGTTAATGATTCTACCGGGTCTACAATTTGTGTCTTTCGGGGCGTGACTTGCGTTGCGTGGTCGGCCGGCGATCTGTTGACGTCGGCAGGACTGGTGCGTGTTCTTCCCGTGAGTCACAGGCGACGTAAATTGTTTCTTCTGTCCAGACGATGATTATCATCATATTTGAATGCTATACATTAGGCCTAATGGGTCATAATTCATGGTCATATATTTAACAAATGCTTGTTATGCACGCGTTGCGATACTTGAATTACGCATATTAATTTAAGGCAACTGGTTTGTTACAGAATGTTGAATTTAAATCACGGACCAATCGTATTTTTATTTGTCAGCGTCGACATAAGCTTTTAACTGAATTACGGTTTGCACATTTGTAGAGTCAGCTTTATCTTAATTTGCTCCGTAAAAGTGTATGCAGTGTTATAATAAAAATCTCTTGTCGTAATTATGCGCCTCATATATATACTTATCAAGTTCTTGAGTGCTTGTACCATGTCACATAACATGTAGCCCAGATAACCTGCCTGATAGGCACCTCTTAGTACAGTTGTGTTGTGTGTCGCGGTCTCATTCCGGTCTGTTGGAAAGGCGGTGATTGTCCGTTGTCGGCATAGTGACTGAAGAATTTAAATTTGACACAGAATTATTTAATTAATTGCAGCATTGAATTCTTTCACATTTAAAGAAGGTAACACAGGATTTCTTAGAAAGTTGTCAGCGTTTAACGCCAGGTTTCCAGGTTTCTGTTGACCAAATTTCGCTTGTAAATTTGTTAAACATAAGCTACTTATTGGAAATATTGAAATTAAGATAATTTTTTTGTACTAGAAGGGTTTCTAATATTTTTTTATGGCGGTTTGTTATTAAATTATTTCATACAAAAATTGCCTTGTCGGAATTAATCAAAATGTTTATTAAATTAATCATGTTGCTCTGAATTATTTCATATATATATTTGAGTTCTGTTTATAGACCAAGAACTGAGATTATTCGTTATCAGTTGGTTGCTTTTGTTATTAATATTTGAAAACAGCTTTTTTAAATTAACTAATGTGAAAAGTCAGGTGGGCGTATGAAACCGACTTTTCGAGGACGGCTCTCGAAACGTCGGTTTTATACGCCCACCTGACGCGGTTAATCGCCCATGAAGACTTCATTGAATTCAGTCGTCGCGAAAGCTACAGATCACATGACTTGAGATCACGCTTATTTGCCCACTTAAATGAAACGTTTCCAACTGATTTCGTTCTATTTTCTATTTCAAAGAAAACAGACTGCAATACAATACGCTTGTTTGTGTTTCCCTCTCGTTCGACACGGCTGTTTGTACTTCAGAAGCAAATAAAAAGGATGATAATGTTGGTGGTGGAATGTACTAGAGTGTGGGTTTGTTTTGTGGTTGAATTACTTGAATGTTTTATGCTGTATGAACACATCGGTAAACTGCGAATATTAGCAGTTTCCGTTCCTGCCAATAGTCTATTTAATCACTTCTTTTCGTAACGTGATAAAGTATAACCTCCACAAAAAGGAAGCATCTGATAGTGCGCTGTAGTGAATTTATACCGTCACTGAGCTTAATAGTTCCTCTAATGTTGTTATTTTATAGTTCTTTAAACGGTGAAGATAATTATCTTCTTGATTGTAGAGCTGTGTAGTCTGGTAGGAGTTTACGGACGTATCAGAGGTCGATGAGAGTATCTAATGATGGAGGCAACAAGGACCTCTGAAACGATGGTAAACTTCTATCAGACTACATGACGCTACAACCCAGAAGGGTATTCTTATTGTTGGCAGCCGTGACGACCTCAAATCCTACTTCGTAAAATAGTAGTAGCATTTATTGTTATTATTACTTTAATCATCGTATTATTAATCATTAGGGATCATATTTTGCTCTGTAGAAGCTAGTTCTCGTCATTTTTGTATGAGCGGTCTTTGTTTTTGGGTCTTGGCTGGGAGGTCCGGGTCTTGAGATTTTCGTGTTTTTTTCCCCTTCTGTGAGTGTGGTAATTACCTCGTACAAAATTCTATCAAACATTCTTCTGGCGAGATTAACTCCATATGTGAATAACATTATCGGGGATCATCAGTGTGGGTTCAGACGTAACAGATCAACGATTGATCAGATCTTTTGCATTCGTCAGATACTAGAGAAAAAATGGGAGTACATAAATTATTTATAGATCTAAAAAAAACCTATGCCTCTGTGAAGAGAGAAGTGTTACACAATATTCTCATTGAATTTGGTATATCAAAGAAGTTAGTGAGTCTAATAAAAATGTGCTTAAATGAAACCTGTAGCAAAATTCGTATAGGTAAATATTTATCTGAGTCATTTTCCATCAAGAACGGTCTGAAAGAAGGAGATGCGTTGAGAACAACAATAGTAAATAAAAATTATATTTATGAGGAAAATATTTTGTCTTCTTGTCTGATTTCTTAGAACTTGGAGATTAAAATATACAAAACAATAATTCTGCCTGTTGTTTTGTATGGGTGCGAAACATGGTCTCTCACTCAGAGGGAGGAACACAGATTGCAGGTGTTTGAGAACAGGGTGTTGAGGAGGATATTTGGGCCTAAGAGGGAAGACGATGGGGCTGGATGGCACAAGAGGTGTGCACCGGGTGTTGGTTGGGAAGCCTGAGGGGAAGAGACCGCTGGGGAGACCTAGACGTAGATGGGAGGATAATCTCAGGCGGGATCTATGGGAGATAGGAGTCGAAGGAGACTGGATTTTGTGGGCCCAGGACGGTCCGGTGGAGGGCTTTGGTTAATTCGGTGATGAACCTTCGGGGTCTGTAAGCCATCTAGTTAGTTAATTTATTTCTCTTTCGTTCCTGCAGGTGAATTTTAAATATATTTAGAGTAAACTATGACTGCATCTTTCCTCACCCCTCTTAATACGTCATTCAAATTTACCCTACTACATCGCATATGACGCTAAATAACTCCAGTAGTTAATTAATGGCTGTAAAATAAGACTGAACAAATAATGTAATACAGGACAAGTCTACAAGTTCTGCCCTAAATACAACTGGCATAAATAATCCCAGCAGTTGTTACAATGTCGAGTAAACGAATACAGTTCAGGACAAGTGGACGTGTTCTGGGTGCGCCCTCTTGTAATTAATACGCGGCAGATTCAACTGACAGATTTAAGAAATAATGTCAGAGCTTTCTGCACAGTTTCGGCCTACATCGAAACTATACGTTACAGCAGTTCTTGGTCCTCCCATCCTAATATCATTTTACTGAGCTCAATATGGAACCGCTGCCATGTAAAATAAAGTGATAATATTAATCATAAGCAAAATGTTTTAGTGGTGTCTACATTCTGACGACAGTCGAGTGCCACTGAATGTAGAGTATGGGTAGGCACGATTCCAAACTTCTGTCCACTTCTTGCATCAAAGCTGCACAGTATGTGGTGAGGAAAAGTGGGAGGGGGGTTGGCTTGGCCCGTACAGTAAACAGAAAGTACTTTCAGACATGCATCGGTAACGAGAGGTGGGTGAGACAGTTTGTGTGGGCCGTCCTGTTTGTGAATGGGCGCCACAGAGTATTACGGGTACGGTGAGGAACTAAACCGACCATAAAGGGTTTAAGTCCATTTGCACTAAAGTTTTTCACCTGCCCAAATGTAAAAAAATACCAGATTTGTGAAATATAAAGTTTTCACGCCGTTCACACTTATCGGTAGGTAACTTTGAGAAGAAACGATCTGTCTCCATCTTCGGGGCTGACAATTTTTGAAACGGGTTTTTTTTTTGTGTTCCCTTCATGTGAATGTACTTTATAACAGA